AATCCCCCAGCACCACATGCCAGCCAGCCCGCCCCCTGGTGGGCTGAACTGGCCACACACACACACACACACACACACACACACAAATAAATAAATTAAAAAAAAAAAAGAAAAGAAAATTAAGGGCTGAGAAGCCAGATGTGGTACCACATGTCACTATCCCAGCACTTAGAAAGCTGAGGCAGGAAGATCATTGTGAGTTCTGGGCTAGCCTGGCCTACATAGTGAGTTCAGGGCTAGCCTGAACTGCATAGTGAGACAAGTCCTTACTCAAATGAAGGGGAAGCGGTACTGAAAGTGTAGTGTAGTGGTAGGGTACTTGCTTAGCATTCATGAGGCCTTGGGCTTGATCTGCAAAAGTAAAGAACAGTAAGTACTTCATCCTAGTGACATTGATGACTTTTGACCATCATTGGTGCCCTGTTGATACAGTTGGGTTTTTTTAGTTGCCTAGAAGTACCCTGCCCCTGTTTTCATACCTTGTTGTCTATGTTGTTTATTTCTGAGCAGCTTGCTTTTCTTCTAGGTAACCTTTTTGGCCTAAATTAACCTGAGCTAGAAATTGTAGCACAGAATCCTAATAGAAAATCCACAGTGCCCACCAGTTCATATCTTTGAGGCATAGGAATACTACATAGTGAGAGAAGGTGAAGTTATAAAGTGAAGGTAGAGATGAGGATGCTTATCATAAGTAGGAGGAATGTGCAGGTCAAAGTAAGATATATGGCGAAGTTGTATCAGAACTACATCCTACAAGGCCTTCTTTTTTTTGTTTTGGAGACAAGATCTTGTTGTGTAGCTCAGGTTGGCCTTGAGCTCACTGTATAGCACAGGCTGGCCTTGAACTTACAGAATCCGCTTGCCTCATCCTCCCAAGTGCTAGGGTTACAGCATTTGCCACCATGCCTGGCAAGGCCTTCTAGTCTATAGCTTAAAAAAAAATGCTTTTGGACAGGTGTACATGGTGGCACACACCTATAATGCTGGCATTTGGGAGGCTGATGTAGAGGATTACTGCAAGCTTGAGGCCATTCTGGGCTACTAGAGAGTTCAAGATCAGTTTGAACTACATAGCAAGACGCTATCTCAAAAGGAAAAAAAAAGCTTTTGGAGCCCAGTGTGCTGTGGGACATCCCAGTGGTCCTCGCCACCTGAGAGGCCCAGGTGGTAGGACTGCTTAAGCCTGCAGACCAGCCTGGGCAACATCCCAGTGACAGACTTCCATTTTGAAAAAGAAGAAGGCTTACGGGGACTCAGTCAATCCCTGGTACTGAAGGGGTGAGGAAAAGCACCAACCCCAACTCCTGAGGGTGGGGTGACATGACACAGTCACCCCTTTCTCTTCCTCCACACCAATACTAGGGATTGCACTTAGGGCCTTCACACTGTGCTACATCCTTAGCCCTTTTTTTTTTTTTTGTGATAGGATCCAATGAAAATGCCCAGGCTGGACTTAG